TTAGACCCCAACCCCCACACCCGCACCCACATCCCACCCACCCACACCCACACCCACACCCACACCCACACCCCACACCCACACCCACACCCACACCCACACCCTGTCTAAAACAAAAACTATTTTGTAGATCTGTTTTCAGTTCTGTTCAATAAGAATAACTGTCTACGAATTATAGAAAATTAATTACCTCATCTATAGCCATGTGACTTTGAATCGGGTGAATATTATCAATTCTATTTTGTTCTTTTTGAGAGAGAGAGAGAGAGGATGCAATGGCCGACTGGGAAACATATTTCATTGTTTTTCATTGGTTAAATAATAAATGAATCATCACTTCCGTTCTCTTTTTTTTGTCCAAAATAAAAACTATTGATTGGATAAGGACAGGCTACAAAAAGGAAACTCATATTGATTTTTTTTTCTTTTTTGTTTCAATAATAAAATCAAGATTTACGTTGTGTCTATGAACGAACGAAGTCGTCAAAATAAAAATTTACATCCACAAAAAATTTTTAATTTTAATTAATTAATTATCTCATTTAGAAGCTATTTAGAAGCGTTTTGTTTTTCAGTCTATAGTTTATCATACTACTATATCCTGAAAAGCTATTCATTTTTGAATATGGAGGTTCTGTTAAATTTTTGATGTCAATTATTATAATGTCCGTTGGAAGCAACATTCGGCTTTTAGATGTTAACATAAATACAAACCGGTTGCAACTCATTCATTTCAGCATCGGACAAATGTTCAACATTAATATTAACTGTCGTTGGAAAACGATAAATTTGAGTATCAATTAATAGATCATCGGTGTTATGAAGAGGATTCGAGGCCATTAAAATATCTAAAACAAATAAGTGAAGAAATATATCTTATCTTATTAAACAAGTAATATTGAATCAATATAATCTTGTCCAGAAGCAATCCCACCTTCAATATTTATCGATGGTTAACTTCGTAATAAAGAACCACCAATCTGTTCACAAAGCACTGTTGTATTTTGACTAACTAAACTACCAAATATATCTAATTCAGTGTCGATTTGTTTTTCAAATATAATTTCGTTTTTATTATTAGATTTAGATAAACGTATTAAACTTAAATGTATTGAAGAATATACATGAGACATTAGAAAAAAATGATTTGATTGTTGAGCAGTAATGATTCGATCAATACGTTCTCTATCAATAAAAAGAATAATTAAAAAAAATCAAATATTTTATTACTTGAGCATCGAACTACAATAAACATTTCCACTTAAACAATTGCGAACAATAAATCTGACTAAGACAAGATTTTTAAATTTATGTAACCATACCTCCTTCTCGATTTTGTTTTAAATAAAACGATCCTTGAATTTTAAATGTCAAAAGTTTGTCAGTGAAGTCTTTTTCGAACGAAAATGGAAAAATTCAGATATTTCATGAATTTGGAAATATTTTAGTCGAAATAATTTTCAATATTATTTTTCTCGTTATTCAAAGACGTTTATTCTTTTTATTATTGCTTTCTAAGATATCTTTGTTTGTTAAACAGAAATATTCATTAAATAAAACGTTACTTAAAGTGCCTAGACTATCTAAATGAAGAATCATTATTTTAGGTGGCTATACAAATGTATCTATTGACCAATGATTTCCAATGTTATCAGAACTAAAGATATGCGAAACTAAGTTTGAGTTTCGATCGGAACGACCAAGACCGAATTATGAAAAATAAATAGAACTAAAACTATGACTAAATTTACCAATCTAGAATGTATGGCATTATGAATAAAACATATTCGGATGATTTAGATGTTGCCTTATATGATAATTTCAAACCTTTTCTCAGTGTGAGGATGATCTTTGTATAAGATTGAAAATTCGTTTATTCTTAATTTGATTTTGATATATAAAATAAACTAAAACCGTTCCTCTATCTGCTGAATCATCACATTATGTTATCAACTAGATGAACAAACATAAATTCAGTTGAGATGAGCAAAAAAGACTTTTCTAAAGTCAATCCAAAAAATAATGAGAATTTTCTCTCTAGATCAAAAAGATTAGAAACACGAGACTTGAACTAAAAATAATTGATTCAACACATCACCATTCAGAAGATATATTTGAAGCCTATCCCTACATTAATCTATTAGCGTTGACTTTTCATCCTGATTTCTCTTGTAGAGTCTACGTTAACCAACTGTCATTCTTCTCCCTGACATCCACGAAAATGCATTTATTGATTTATAACCATTACTACTAAGATCTTGAGTTTGACAAAATAAAATAAATCTTTTCTTTTCTACCGATATGAATTTGTTGAATAAAGTATTCCATTATTTGAACTTGCATGACAATCATATTGATAATCAAAAGGCCATTGTTTTTCATTCCAAAACTTCGATCTAAATTGATCACTTAAACAAAGATATAAAAATCGATTCATTACTTTAGTATAACTATTTTTTATATCAAAAATATGTAAATTTGGCATTGAAGATGAAATTAATTCTTCCCATTGTTTTTCATGTGAATATGATAAATCATTGAACGTTGAAATACGTAAAACTACAGTATGATGAAAGAAATCTTTTATTAATTTTTCAAATTGATGGAAACCAATTGAATGAAGGTCGCAAGAAACATATTTTAAATCTTTTAATTCAATTGGATAAAAATCTATCTGTGAATGATTTGATCCAAGAAGATAATTAATTGATAAATGACGAAGTTTTTGAAGATAAATAAATAATTTCTGAAATGATTCATATCGAAATGGACTATTTATTATCAGATATTCAATAGAACTTTGTTCATGTTGATCAAAATCTATTGGTAATACATTTTCATTATCCTTGATTCGATATGTTAATTTGTAATATTTTTATTTTTTTAAACGAAATATTTGAATAAAAAGAATAGTTGGATTTAAAATATAATTAATAGAAGAAAGAATTAATGAATGTAATTTAGATAAATGAATTAAATTTTTAAGAATATTATGAAGATATTTTCAATTGATATGATCAAATATTCATTTTTCAATTTGAATTAAATCAAAAATAAGACGTGGCGAAGAAAAAATCATATAAATTGTAAATGGATTTGATAAACGAAGAATATCTATTCGATGTTTATTTGGTTGAAAAAATATTTTAATTATAAAGATCAAAATGAGATTTTGATATTGTTGAAAGATTTATTTGAAATGGAATATTTAAATTAACAAGAAGATTTTGAAATCGATTATTAAGATAAAAGAATCCATGATATATACCATTCAATTCAAGATATTCAAATATTTTATAAAATGTTTCATTTGCTAAATTTTCAAAACAACATCTAAATTAATGTATAGAAATTTAATCAAATAATAGATTTTCAATAAACTGACTTAGTTGTTGTTACTAAGAATTTGAATTTTTTTCTTATTAGTGTGATCATAAACAGTGTCGTCTGATAGTCGTTTTATTCGTCTTCCCATGTTTCAAATAAGAAATAACGATAATACTGGTCGACAATAACGAAAAAGAATACATATATATGTAGACACGTGAAATAATATATTCTCTCTCTCCCATCTATTCGTTATTTTCGATTAGTAAACAAGTGTTTAGGCCAAGAATTTTACTTTCCTACCAAACAAATCACATGATAATTGAAACGGTTTTTAGTCTTTGGACCATTGTCACCAATTGCCATTTAAAGGAGGATGATGGATAAGGTCATTTTATTTCTCCCAATGAAAACGAGATTTATTTATTGGAATGCAATTAGGGATAAGTTCTAATTATATTTTATAGGTCACTTTTGAAATAACTCGAAAAAAAACTTTGGAACTTGTGGCGCACCCTTCCAAGGATGTCAAAAAAGTTTTTTTTCTTGTGATTCAAACAAAACATGTTTCATGATAGAGTCGGGTATGCTGCTTATGAATATCAGTATTAGAAAGCCTATAGATATTTTGTTAGTTAAAACATCTTAACATTCTAACATGATCTCTAAACTAAAAATATCAGTTTTCAGCCTTCTAACTGACCTATTGATTGTCAGAATCCGCGAAAAATTTATACTATCGGATGAGACAAAAGTTTTGCAACAGCTTTTATTTCGCATATATCTCTTTGTGGGTAAATGATAAAATATTTATTTTTTTTAAAGATATGCCTTGAAAAGCTCTACAAGAATGGTAATAACAAATCCCTATCGACTTGCGTCAATAGTCTTTTCCATACTCAAAATGAAAAACCTACATGAGAGCGCTACCTTCCACTCGTCTTAGCATAATAAAAAGCGTTTTTGTTTCGCAACAGGATTCATTCACGCAGCTTGTGTAGAGCTTCTGACGGCGCATCTTTTTAAAAAAATTCAAGATTTTATCTTTTACCTATATCAAGAGGCAAGGAGAATAGAAAGTGCTTAAAAAATCTTGGGCATTCGAAACCAATTTCACGCGGATCTTCAATTCTAATCACCTTGGAAAACCATTACAATAAGCCAACTGCTATTTATTCATGAAGTTTGTGTAGCGCTTTTAATGACACACCTTTAAAAAGAATTCAAGATTTTATCATTTTTCTAGACCGAGATATATCGAGAACAAAAAATAGCTTTTTAAATGCTTTTTATTATGCTAAGACCTGTGGGAAGTAACACTGCCATGTAGGTCTTTTATTTTAAGTATGGAAAAGACCATTGACACAAGTCAATAGAGATTTGTTATTACCATTCTTGTAGAGCTCTCCAAGGCACATCTTTTTAAAACAAATTTAATATTTTATCATTTACCGACAAAGAGATATATGCGGAATAAAAAATATTGTAAAACTTTTGCCTTACCCGGTATATATGAAAAACTATAGGTTCTACGGTGAGAGTGTGGGTATGGGAGCGAAGATGAGTTTTTTTATTCATTCTGACCCTCATCCTTCCAAATTCTTCGAAGACTTTTCCTCAATTATGAAATTATGAAAATAATGCTAATGATTGTTTTCTCTAAGTTCGATGAAGAATTGAATCTAATCAAGAAATTTCTATAGTTTAGTTTGATTTTCAATGCATTGCTTGACCTTTATTGAAGAAAATTCCAATAGAAATCTTTTCTTGAAGATAAATATTTGATAAATCTTCTCTTTAACAAGCGAAATTTTGATCTGTTTTTTTTTCTAAATAAAATCTCTTTTCGTTGATAGAAATTTGAATGGAAGAATCAATTGTTGAGTGGTGAAAAAGACTTTGCTCTAATTGAATTAGTGATTGTTGATTTCGAGATTGAGATATCTTTCGATTGAATCAATAAAACATTAGAAATCAAAAATTTACCTACAATTAGCATGGTTAACAAACAAACTATTTGAAAAAAAGATTTTTGTTGATTTTGTCTAATGTTTATTTTAAATTGATCTTCTTTGAAAAAATAATCATTTTTAGAATGAATTTTCTTTTTTTAATCTTTTCTGCTGATAAAGAGATAATGAAAGAAAAACATCTTTCATTTGAAATTAACCTTCTGTATTTTTCTCTAATCCAATCTTTGTTGAGAAAGAAAATATTTGTTAGATGATTATACTCAAAGATATGGATAAAAGGAATTTTTTCCATATTGAAGAAAAGAAAACGAAATACTTCCTTGAAATGTTTTATTTAATCAAATCTTATTTATTTATGTTTATGATGAAATACATTCTTATGCTTATAAGAAATTGAAAATGATGGTATTGACTATAGGATTTTCTATTACAATAAATTGATAATAAATTAATTGACCAGAAAGAAATATCTGAATGATCTGGAAAAATGCTCATTCTATTCAACATGAAAATAAACGTTTTGATATTGATGCAGTTGATTGCTTTTTTGATTATTATAGATTGGAAAATCCTTGGAAATAAGAAATTTTTTTCTGGAAAAATTATTTAAATCCTCAAGAAAAGGAAAAATTAAATTTATCAAAATATAACTGTTTTATCTTAATCCATTTGCAGCGATATGAATATTGCTTTCTCATAATTCGTGAAAGGTTTCATTTCTTTATTTGTAGCAAATGTAGTACTTCAACGCAACTTTTATCGATGTTTCTATTATCAATTTGAGCTATGAACATTCTTCTATCAACGTTAAAAAATCAGCTCTTTTAATCAAAGGATGGCGCAGATATTTAATTTTTTCTATGATAAACGAGCTTTTGAAGGGTGTGGGGTGTGGGTATGGGTGTGGGTGTGGGTGTGGGAGGGTGTGGGCGCAGCCAGGGAAAAGAGTAACACCCACACCCTTCATCCACACCCCACACCCACCCACACCCACACCCACACCCACCCACACTCTGGTATGTCGAACATAGCCTGTAACTTGAAAGTTTCAGGTGTGGTGGGTCTGGGTATGGGTTTAGTTGATATAAACACCCACAGCTAACACCCTTATAATTAAAAACAATTGTTGTATACCTTTCTGGTCACCCTGTATATGCGAATTGTGGCATCAGTATTGCAATATTTTGTATTTTACAAATATTACACCGTAGATAAATCATATAAGCTTGGTTTTTTTTCTAAAATATGCGCAGTGAAAAGCTCTACAAAAAGAGTTCGATAAAAACCTTATTAACTTAGTCTGATCGTGACCCTTTTACGCAAAGTGAACAAGCTACATGATGATGCTATGTCCAACTGTATTCAGCATGATAAACATTTTTGTAAGATATTTTCGTTTCGGATGTGTTTCGGCTTTAGAAAATGACAACACCTTGATTACTTCTAATAAATGAACTGACGAAAGCTCAACGAATGATATATATGGGCTAACTCTCCTTGCAAAACTAAAATAGTTTACCAAATATTTCTATCATGGTAAATCTGGTCAGATATAGCATCTGGATGTCACCTGTGAATTTTGGATATAGGAGACATCATTCAAATGAATCCATAGAGGTTTATTCTTATAATTTTTGAATAGTTTTTCACGACGCATCTTCTAACACAAAAATTCAAGAATATGTGATTTATCTATCGTGTGATATTTTCAAATTACGAAATGTTGCAATCTTGATATTGCACTCGGCATGTAAATCTATTGTGGTTGCCAAGAAAAGAAATCCATGAATATTTGTATTTTTTTAAGTGAATATTTTTTTTAAAGAGCGACTAACATGAAATGCGTAAAAACGACGTCATCCTATTCTTGGATTGTAAAAGATGTAATATCACTATGTAATCCAACGATATAACTTCATTTTTCTATATTTTATTTTTGTATACTTTACTATTCTCAATTAACATGTAACTGTAAATCTCTTTGTGTACATTTTAACAATTATATTGATGAACTCTTATGTTACAATAGCGTGTCGACTTATGCTTATATAAAGAATATTTTTTGGAATTATCGTTTTGAAAATTGAATTTTAATCATAATAGAAAAGTTTCGAGATTGATGATATCTTCTAACACAAATCAATAAGAAGCATTTTTTTATTGTGATATCACTTATTTTCTAGAGCATACGTTTCAAATATCTTATGCTATATCAATTAATGAATATATTTTGTACCGCAGAACGTAAAAGATAACTATGAGTCATCACTGTTTGACGTTTCACAATAACGATCGTGTTATTCGAATGTAGGCGCGAAAAGAATAAAAATAGTAGAAAACGGCCTTGATAATAAAAATATGAATGATCGAAAAATTATGTATATTTAGCAACATGAAAAAGATATAAAAAGTTATTTGTCATGCCGAAAAACTTTTGATATGAATCATTTTATGTTTTTTGAAGAATAAAACAAGAAATGTAATAATATAATATAATATAATATAATATTCTAATCATATAATGTAGGGTGTGGATGTGAGTATGAATATGAGTGATGACTTGCTTTATAGCCATATTTGCATCAACATTTTTTTTTTGCGTTTCCATGTAACACTCGGAAGTGCTTACATTATGAATTAATTTAACGTGATTTTTTGTTTCAATATAAGCTTCAATTTCCGTGCAAAAAGTTATGCAGCATTCACCTTTGTCTGCGGGTACTAAATATTGAATCAGCAAGTGAGGGTAATAAGAGAGAAAAAAAAAGCAACAAAAAATCTAAAGAATTTGAGTAGAAGCGAGAGCGTGAAGAGAGAAGGAAAAGAGAGAGAAGAAAAAAATGAAAATGACGTTTGTAAAGAGAGAGAGAGAGAAGAGAGCACGGTTCCTCGTGCTCCTATCTTCACATGCAATTATTCTATTTCAATAAACGATATCCATTTTAGAAGAAGCGATTCATGTTTGTTTATCAGTAATTTTACTCGATTGTTACGAAAAAACTGACCAAGGTGATCATTTTTTCTCTTATAAAACTCATCCCACAAGAAAATATCGTTATAGAAGAGTGAGCAGCCTAGATCTGTTGTGTGAATGCTTTTCAGTCTTTTTTGAATATACTGCTTAACGTAAACATC